TGCGCACCGGCCGGCGCCAGGCTGGGCGGGGTGGGCCGGGCACGCTTCGGGCTCGGGCTGCGGCGGCTGCTTCGGCGCTCCCTGGGTCTCGGGTCTGCTACGAACCGTGTCATCTGGGGCGTCGGTGTTCCCAAAGTCGGGCTGCCGCGCCGGGACGGCCCACGCCGGGTCCTGGCCGAACCGCGTCCGCCGGGGCGGCCAAGCCTCGGGAGGACCACTTTGGGCCGGCTGATCTCCACACCTGAACCCTGGTCCTGCGCATCCCGACGCACAGAGCCCGGGTTTATGTTTATTTATGAGTTTAGCCCACTCGAGTCTCGGAGTTCGAGAGTTCACCCTGGGGACCCGGCGTCTGACTGCACACTTCAGGGACAGGCGCGCAGCACCTCGCAGAGCCGCCCGCTTGCCGCTCGAGAGCCCTAAGGCTTCCCTCCTGGCAGCTTTCATTGTCCGGTTTCCTCAGCACCGCGCCGGCCACTCCCGCAGTCCAGGACAGCCTTGTTCCCTTCCACGCCCCTCTTCTGGGGTCACACTCCCATGTTCTTTGACCTGGCTCTTCAGTGACTTCATATCTAAGGCTCTTAATCCTCTTCTGGAGCCAAACGCATTTTTCAGAGTCTTCCAAAACTGAGTTCCCAGAGCGCCTTTGTAGCAACGCAGTTCTTAAGTCAGACCCTGCTCGGGATCTAGGGCTGTGCCAACTGAGGGTGTGACCTTGGGTCAGCCCCTTACCCTCTGAGCCTGTTTCCTCATCCCAAAGTGAGGACTATCATGTATCTCCAGGTGGTCTTGAGGACTGAAGGCGCGAGCTACAAAATACTTAGCATGCTGCCTGGCACATAGTAAGCGCTGCTCCATTCATGTCAATTACAGTTTGAACAGATCGTTTGAACAGATCGTTTTCAAAAGCAGCAGCATTTTCTTAGAATCAAATGCAAAATATAATGCTAATAGCAATAAACTATTTATCATCAGTCTTGTAAGGAAAGATTTTTTTTTAAATTATATTTATTTCCTGAGAGTTCAGAGACATAGAGAAAGACATGCATCCTCAACGAGGTCCCACACTGATCTCCCCACCTCAGTGTGTTCGGCTTGTATAGGTAGCTATGGAAACCTGCCCAAGCTCTTCCAGATGGTCCAGCTTTCATTGAGTATTGCTTTACAGTTGCATCACCCATTCTGCCCCATGAAAGATTTTCTTTAAGTGGTGTTTATATAATGCTCAGTGAAGTGGGAACCATGGTCAAATGATGGCTCAGTTTTATAAAATCATTTGGGAAACTGGAGCTGTATGTCAGAGATTTCAGAAATGTTAATTGCTTATTTCAAAGGCACATCTGAAAATTTTCCCTAGGAAATAAGTCATATTATAGAATGTAGGAAAAAAGATAGCCATAACACTGCTTGTAAGAGTGAAAGAATTTGAACTTTTTATAATGGGAATCTTTATCACAAAAGCAGAATAGATAAACCATCCGTGTCCCCATCACCCAGCTTTAACATTGATCGGTATTTTGCCTATCTTGTTTTTGTGGAAAATCTTTAACCTACTAAGTGTCTAAAAATGAGAAAACAGTTGGCTACATTTAAAAAAATGCTTTGAAGCTTTTGAAATAATACAGAATTGTGTATATGACATTGCCACAACTATGAAGATTAAAAAACAAACAGCTATATGTAGGAAAAAAGGCAAGAAAGAAATACAGTAAAATGGTGGGATTACAGACGATTTCCCACTTCTTGTTTTTATAAATATACCATGAAAGTTATATTCACTGCTATAATAAAGACTGACAAACAAAATGTAAAAATACCATACCTAGAATGAATACTGCAGAAGATGCCAGAGCAGGCTCATGGTTACAGAGAATGATGCTTAAGGTTCCTTGATCTGTTTTTGTAGCCTATGTTTACATTAGCATTCTTTATATTAATGCCTTGTGTTAGGGCTTTGTGTTGAGTTTGTATGATTAGCTAACATCCTCATCTTTAACCAGCCACCCTTTATCCTTTAAGTGATTTAACTATGTGACATTTTGTTCCCCTATTTTGGCTAGTGTATCTCCTGCAGGGTAGAGCAAGGTTCCCTTCGATTAGATGACTTCCCCTTTATTCCTTCTTTTCTTCCTGCCCCAAGCAGGGATCCAACTCAGACTGCATGTACTTAGTTTTTATTTTTCTATGCTTGAGGGCGCGTACATGCCCTAGAGAGAATATCCACCAGCAGGATCCAGTCACTTTGCAATCTTTTTTCTTCATTTCTCAATTTCATCAAGGTCTTGGGCACTTGCTCACATACCCAATGTGTTTTCCAAACCACCTGGCTTAGACTCAAACCCTGGTAGGCCATGTGGGATCCAGCTTCCTCCGCCCAATGCTTACTTGCTGTACTATGGGGTGACCCAGACTTTATGCACTTATTACACACATTTTAAAAAAATTATTTATTTAATTTTATTATTATTTTTAAATTTGCTACAAGGCACGTGCATTTACCAGAGAGAGACAGAGAGAGAGTGAAAGACAAAGTGAGAAAGCAAGCTGCCAAGTCCAGGACTCAAATCGCAGTCGGCTATGTGGGAGTCCAATGCCCCAACCACCATGCCACCCGCTGGCCCCTATACATTCTTTTTTAAACAGCCATTTTTAACAATTTAAATAAAATAATTTTATCACTTTTTTTTTTTTGGTCCAACCAGGTTGTGTTTAGATCTGACTAAAAATTTGTTTTACTCTTTATGTTGATGCTATATTTTAAACTGATGAGACAGTATATTTTAAAAACAGTTAAAAGAGGAGTCAGCTCCCAAGAAAATGTACAAATGATATATATTACAAACAAGTTTGTGAAGAAACTTTGTTTCCTAGGTATGCCAAGAAGCCTTTCCACCCAGATGTCCTTTGCGATAATATGGATCAGTCCGGAGTTCTCCTCTGGGTGAAAGCAGAACCCTTTATAGTGGGTGCCTTGCAGGTCCCCCCTCCCTCCAAGTTCAGTCTTCACTATCTCAGAAAGATATCCACCTACGTGCGGACCCGGGCCACAGAGGGCGCTTACCCACGCCTCAGCTGGTCTGCATGGAGGCACATTGCGTGTGGGAAGCTGCAGCTTGCCAAGGATCTGGCATGGCTTTACTTCGAAATATTTGATAGTCTGTCAGTGCGGACACCTGAGGAACGCCTGGAATGGTCTGAAGTTATGTCCAACTGTACATCCGAGGATGAAGTTGAAAAGCAGAGAAATCAGGTATGGATTGGTGTGCATATGTGTGTTTAATTACTTTGGGAAATAAATGACTAATATTTATACTAGCTGTATAGTGTGAGGTTTTAGGTTAATGACTGTTGTAATCCCAAAGTACCATTTGAGTTTTAGCACTTTCAGATTGGCAGTATTTAATGTATTCAGTACATTAGTCCTTACTTACCAAATCCTTATTCACCTACCACAAAGGCAGTAAAATTATAGGAAGCTTGTAATTGAAAGAAGGAAATATTTATTTATTTTAGAATTCTTTTGGGGTGAGCAAGTGTTATGAATAATTGATATATTATAATTAGAGCCTTTGACTTTTTATTTATTTATTTTTTTTTGGAGAATTTTGCTATAGGGTGTGTGAGCTTGCCAGAGAGACAGAGAGAGACAGAAATTGAGAAATCACCTCCTGGTGGTGTTGGCCATGCCATAGTCCCTTCTCCTCCATTCTCTTCTCAGAATTTTGGGCACCTATGCACACGCACCTGGCGTTTAAGCCTCCAAGTCCAGAACTCGAACCGTGGTCAAGTACATTGACAGTCCAGCCATGTAACCGTTATGCCATTTGCTGGTCCTGAACACCTGACTTTTTAAATGAACATCTGCTACGTGCTGGGATTCAAAGATGAATAGGACAATATCACTGACCTCTTGTAGCTCATGGGCTATTAAGAAAAGTTGGTTTATAAAAAAGTGCTATTTTTGGGGTGAGCACAGGTGCCCTAAGGCTAAAACCTCTTAAAAAATAATAATGTGCTTTTTTGGGGCCGGCAGGTGGCATGGTTGTGAAGGCACTGGAGTCCCACATGGCTGACTGTGGTTCAGGTACTGGACCTGGTGGCTTGCTTTCTCATTCTCCCTCTCAGGTCAAATTGAAGAAAAAGAAGAAATAAAATTAAATAATTCTTTAAAAAGTGCTATTTAATAGTGTGATGTGTACACTAATAAAAGTATGCATAAAGTACAGAAATGGAACAGAGAATGGTTCATTCTGGTGATGAGGAAAGACTTCAGGAGTAAGCTGATTACAGTAACAATCTCCGCGTATCAGTGACTTAGAACTATAAGAGTTTATTTCCTAATCATGCAGCCGTCCAACACAGTTGTACCTGGTTAGATGCCTCTCTGGGCTGCTGCTGTTCTAGCAGGTGACTCTGGGATCCATGCAGCTGTCTGTCGGAGACTTTATTATATTAACCAGCTTTACTGTAGTTGGGGAAAAAGAAAAGAATGGCCTAGTGATTTACACTAGTAACAGAATATTTCTTGTTCGTTTTACAAGCAGGCTAGACTTTAGCTATGGCTCTCTTCCAGCTATGACTTGGCTCCACGTCTTCTCATTTAGGGACTCAGGCTGGAGAAACTGCCTCCGTGTAGTTCTCGCCTATTTTTTTTTTTTTTTTTGCTATAGGGCACGGGCGCCCACTAGAAAGAACAGAGAGAGACAGAGAGACAGAAAGCGATAAATCACCTCCCAGAGGGGATGGCCACGCCACAGTCCCTTCTCCTCCATTCTCCTCTCGGGAGCTTGGGCACGCACATATATGTGCCCAGCGTGAGTTTAAGCCACCGGGTCTGGGACTCGAACTGCGGTCGACTACATGGGAGTCCAGTGACATAGCCATTATGCTAACTGCTGGTCCCAGTTCTTGCCTATTCTAACAGAAGGGAAGAGCCAAAAAGCAGAAGGAAACTTGTGATGCTTTTTTGTTGTTGTTTTTCACATGTGCACAACTCTGGGTTTGCGGTTAATTGTATATTGTAAAACCACCACCCCCATCAAGGCCATACTCAGATCACCTCCCAAAGCCTTCCTCAGCCTTTGTTTTTGTTATTGTTATTATTTTATGTGTGTATTTGTTAAAAACACTTCATGTAAGATCCACCTTCTTAGAAAATCTCAAGTATGTAGTATGTTATGGCTATACACACTGGACTGTATAGCAGACGGTGAAACTTGATATCCTTTGACCATTACTTCTCCATTGCCTCCTTCCCCCAGCCCTTGGCAGTCACCATTCTATTTTCTACTTCTGAGCTGGCTAGATTCCACATGTCAGCGAGCCCATACAGTGTTTGTCTTTCTGTGTTTGGCTTATTTCAATTGGCATAAAGTCCTTCAGACTCATCTACATTGTTGAAAATGGCGGGGTTTTCTTCTTTTTTTTTTGGAGAGGTTTTTGCTATAGGGCATGTGCACTCACCAGAAAGACAAAGAGAGACAGAGAGACAGAAAACGAGAAATCACCCCCCCAGGGGCGATGGTCACGCCGCAATCCCTTCTCCTCCATTCTCCTCTCGGGATCTTGGACACGCACGCACACGTACCTGGCGTGAGTTTAAGCCACCAGGTCTGGGACTCGAATCGCGGTCGGCTACATGGGAGTCCAGCAACATAGCCATTACGCTAACTACTGGTCTCAGGGTTTTCTTCTTTTTAAGGCCACATAATATTCCACAGTGTTTGTGGTGTATATGTGTACAAACACATACCACACTTTATCTGTCCATCCATCAATGGACATTAAGTTGTTTCCATATCTTGGCTGTTGTCAGTAATGCTGCAGTGAATATGAGAGTTCAGGTGTCTCTTCAAGATCCTGACTTCAGTTTCTTTGGATAAATATCTGAAAGTAGAATTGCTAGATCATATGGTAATTCTCTCTTTAATTTTTTAAGGAGCCTCCATACTGTTTTCCATCGTAGCTCTACTAATTTACATTTTCACCAGCAGCGTACCTGGGTTCCCTTTCTCCATATTCTCACCATCACTTTTGTTTTTAAAATAAAAGCCATCCTAACAAGTATGAGGTAATATCTCATTACAGTTTTTATTTGCATTTTCAGATGGATAATATATTTTCATATACCCATTGGCCATTCATATGTCTTCTTGGGAGAAATGTCTGCTTAGATCTTCTGTCCATGTTTAATTGAGTTGTTTTGTTTGTGAATCTTAATCTCAAGACAATTAAGAAAGTAAAATTTATAAAATATATAGATTCATTGTTACATTGACAGTTGGTGATCTCGAGAATCTGTATTCTGTTAACATTTATTTTGTGAGAGAGAGACAGAGACAAATACCCTTGATGGGGTCTCACCACATCTTGATCCTCCCCACAGCCTTCCAGTGGGCCAGGATCACAAGTTTGCATGGGTGTGTCCATCGTGTTCTGGTCAGACAAATATCTGAACCTGGGCCTGCCATGTGATTCCAGTAGCAGGTGGCTGCCTGTGCCATTGCAACTTACCCTGAATCTATATTTTTATGTTCTTCAGATGATAGCAAGTAATCTGTAGCCAGGTTAGGGGTCAGGGTGAATACAGTTACAGACACAAATGTATTACTTTTTGCCTCTCCAATATGTGTATGGAGATGGGTATGCAAAGATAATCTTGAGCTTCAAATCATGAGCTTCAAACCATATACTTTCTCAGATAAGGAAGGGTTTCATACTTTTGTCTGTCCAGTAATGTTTTTTTCTTTAAGCAAAATATCCCTTTAAGAATTTGATGAAAAACCTGAGATCTCCTCCCACAAAATGCACATTCACCCAAAAATCACTTATAACTTCAGGTATTATACTGATACCTTTACCTTTCTTGATAAGTCTGTGAACCTTAGGTAAACCTCTGTATCTTGCTTGAATTTTCTTCCATCTATTTGTTTATTTTCACATGACTAAATTTGGTTTTTTAGAACTACAATTTTAAACATCTGAAATAATGTATTTTATACAATTAGATACTTTATCCTTTCTTCTTCATCAGTTTTGGAAGAGAATTTCTGTGGTTATGGGTGCTACTCCGCCTTCTGGGAAGTTAGTGACTCCAGTTTAATTACTTTTAGGGACTTCTGTATTTGGATATCAGAGACACATCAAATGGTAGTAATAATTCTATGTTTGTGGGGGGGGTGGGTAGGTGTGTGGCTTTATTTTTAGAATGAACAAATTGTTAATTTTGTTTACTATGCCTACTTGGTTGTAGACTAATGACTGATGATATTTTAAGATATGTGTTCATTGTTTATCTTCTTCGTGGACAGCTTTCAGTGGACACCCTCCAGTTTCTGCTCTTCCTATACATACAGCAGTTCAACAAGGTTTCCCTCAGGACATCTTTGATTGGTGAAGAGTGGCCTAGTCCCAGACACAGATCTCCGTCTCCTGACCTGGCTGAAAAATCCAATTGTCATAATAAGGTAGCCTTTAAATCTGGTCTTTTTCTCTATAAAGAGGCCATTTGTCCATTTGTGAAGAAACTGGTTCACCTTCACTGAAAGTTATGTTGGATTTTTTTACATCAGCTGACGATATGATGGTTTGTTTTCTCCTTTGCTTTTTACTTTTTTTTCCCAATTATAAAACAAATCTATGTGTGCAATGTTAATCAAAATGGAGAAGTAGTTTCAGTTCCTTCACTGATGTGAAAATCATTTATATGACTTTTTTGGGTAAATTATTTACTATATTCTGTTAGTACTCCCATTTTTGCAAATGTTAATGGATTCAAAGCTAAGGGTGGGCCAGGAGTCAGATCGGAACTCTCATGTGGCTTCAGCTTGCTGAGTAACAGTGTTGACCACCACGAGCTACCATAGCTGGACCTGTAATCTCCTTTTTAATAAATCTATCCTCCCTTATATTCCCTAACATTATACTCTCCTGTTTCTACTTTTGATTTTTCTTTTCTGCTCTTCATAAATTTCTCTTTGGCCCCTATTACTACAAAATTCTTCCTGTAGCAATTTTCTCTTTTTACTCAACATATTCATTCTGCATAATTCTTTCTGTGCCATGACTTTATGTATTTCTTTCTTTCTTTCTTTTTTTTTTTTTGAAAAAAATTTCTAAAAAGAAGATCTCATATGTCACAATCCTCCTGCCTCAGCTTCCTTGGTAGCCAAGACTGCAGGCATGTGCTACCACTCTGGCCTTACAGGGTGGGCCAGGAGTCAGATCGGAACTCTCATGTGGCTTCAGCTTGCTGAGTAACAGTGTTGACCACCACGAGCTACCATAGCTGGACCTGTAATCTCCTTTTTAATAAATCTATCCTCCCTTATATTCCCTAACATTATACTCTCCTGTTTCTACTTTTGATTTTTCTTTTCTGCTCTTCATAAATTTCTCTTTGGCCCCTATTACTACAAAATTCTTCCTGTAGCAATTTTCTCTTTTTACTCAACATATTCATTCTGCATAATTCTTTCTGTGCCATGACTTTATGTATTTCTTTCTTTCTTTCTTTTTTTTTTTTTTGAGAGGTTTTTGCTATAGGGCGCGTGCGCTCGCCAGACAGACAGAGACAGACAGAGAGACAGAAAGGGAGAAATCACCCCCCAAGGGGGATGGCCACGCTGCAATCCCTTCTCCTCCATTCTCCTCTTGGGATCTTTGGCACGCATGCACACGCGTCTGGCGTGAGTTTAAGCCACCGGGTCCGGGACTTGAACTGCGGTCGACTACATGGGAGTCCAGCGACATAGCCATTATGCTAACTGCTGGTCCCTGACTTTATGTATTTCAATGACTCCCAAGTTTATTTCCATCCTAGAGATCTGGCTTCATATTTATGCCTTCACATAGATGCCCTCTCTATACCTTAAGTTCAGAATGTTCAAGTCTTGATTGGTAGTGATGCCAGTCATTGTCTATTCTCTCTACATAAAAGAATGGGCACTGTTAGGAGATGGTGTCTTGAGCCAGCCTATGCTGCCTTCAGGCCAGGCTTTACTGTGTAATAGTCACATGATTTTAGGCAAGTCAGTTAATTTCTCTAGGACTTAGCTATTCCTTTCTAAATGAGAATAACAATGCTTCCATAAGTTTCATTTGCATAGCAATGAAAACAATTTGCATGCAAATATACTAGCTACCCAAAACTGCTGAGCAGTATCTGCCTAAGGAAGCCACATGTTTTTATCAGAATTTGCCCCAAAAGATCAGAGAAACTACATGGCGCCAGTCATTTTCACATCTTCAGAAGATTAACATCTGAAAACAACTGGTTCTGCATTCCATTTCTTCTTTCCCCATTTTTCTACCCTTTAAAAGAATAAACCTGAGGCTCATTCAGGGTCACAACTTTCTCCATCAGAGAAGTCAGGCCCACTTGACCTTCGCTTTTCTATACTTGTATGTCTTTGTGTGTTTATTTTTGTGTTTATTTCTCACCCACAACACCCCCACTCAGACAAACGCATTCATCCAAGCAGGTCCCAGCAACTGGTGACGCTATTTTGTGCTATAGCATGACCTCTCTCATTAATTGATCAGACCAGAGATAGAATAACATATCTTAGCCACTGCTGTGTGTTTGAAATTTGACTGATTTAAATGGTGACCTGGGCCAATTAGTCCCTCTTGGCACTGAAGAACTTACCAGTTGGTGGTGGATGCTGGAGCTGAAAACAAACATGTCATCGACACAAGAACAGCTACCATGCTCACTCATGACTTGGAGTTCTGAGGGATTAGAAACTAAGATAATCAGATAAGCACAGGATGCTTGTCATCAGAGAAAAAGAAGAGAATGAAACAAATGTGTAGAGATGACAGCAGCCATGGAAGAGAACCAGGTTCCAGAGGGCTTTTTGGTTCTGGTTCTAATGAGGCCTACATCTACTTCAGTTTGGGAGGCAACTGTGTATCCCTATAGCAAAATCTCCCTTTGATTATTTGGTTTTCTCTATGCCAGTGAAAGTTACTGCCAGCCTACCCATCTTTTCTTCCACCTTCCATACCTGGTTAGCTGTCAAATCTTACTGATTCTGTTTCAAAATAGCTCTTTAAGTCTGTCCCTTTACTTCCTGTTACTCGGACTTTTCTTAATAAATTTTTGACCTTGATTGACCTTTTCTCCTTGATCTATAATTATGATTATGTCCTAGCTGATCACTCTGGTTTTAGTGTGCAGTCTACCTACCACAGTGGACTTTCTAAAATGCAGATGGATTGTACCTATCCCCTGTCTAAATTCCATTAATGAGTCATCATTGTCATGCCGTTTTCAGATTGAACTCCATGGAGCCACTTAAGGGCCTATTTTGGGGAAGAGGGATACAGAGAGAGGAAAGAAGGGCAGGTTGAGACTATAGACAGCTCTCCTTTGATCTGTTTTCCTTGACATCCTTTTAAAAAGAAAAAAAAAACAAGTATAAGTATTGGTTCATTGGAAAAGTCATGACTTATTTTTCTGTTTTTCTATGCAAAAATTCATCATGACTTTTCTGATGATCCAATATTTAGGAAACAGCCCGAGAAGGTCCCTGGCACACAAATCAAGTCCAGATGTTTTAGCATGTTGTGTGAGACCTTTCATGATTGTTCCCTGCACAAAGTTCAGCTGCCACCTCCTAGCATTCTTTCTATACCCCACCCGGCACTTGTAGTTCTCTAAACACAAAGGTACTTATATTCCTGTGGGTCTTTGTATATACTGTTCCCTGTGTCTAGAATGCCCTTTTTCCCCTGGTTTACCTGACTACCAGCGTTGGTCAATCTATTCACACAGCACTCCACTATGATCTCCCCCACCCCCCGCTGTGACTTAGTTACTCCTCCCTTGTTTTATAGAACATCCTTACAGATCTTTGCTGTAGGTCTTATCTCATTGTGTCATGGTTATATATATTGTCTTCTCTTTACATAGACTGAATTTCTTCAGAACTAGAACCATGTCTTATTCAGCTTTCATGTTCTTTACTTAACATTGCTGATGCTAAAGTAGAGATGTTCAAAAAATATCTGCCAAATGAATTGGCCAAATCACTGAGACTTTTGCCAACTCAAAGCTTATGCCCAAAGTTAAAATTTTTCTTAAATCTAGTCACTGTAACTTTTTAACTCATTTCAGTGAATTCCTCGGTAATTAAAGAAAATAAATTGGGAAATCCATTCATTGAATGAATGTCCATGGGAGTCATTTTTGTTTGACCTGAAGCTTTAGAGTATTTACTAACTGTGACTTGGAGTGAGTTTCTGAACCTTCCTTTTTCTTTCTTTTTTTTTTTTTTTTGAGAGGTTTTCGTTATAGGGCGCATGTGCTCGCCAGACAGAGACAGACAGAGAGATAGAAAACAAGAAATCACCCCCTGGGGGGATGGCCACGCCGCAATCCCTTCACCTCCATTCTCCTCTCAGGATCTTGGGCACGCATGCACACACTCCCGGTGTGAGTTTAAGTCACCGGGTCCAGGACTCGAACCGTGGTCAACTACGTGGGAGTCCAGCGACATAGCCATTACACTAACTGCTGGTCCCAGTTTCTGAACCTTTCTGTATCTCCATTTCCTCATCAGTAAAATTGTCATGATAGTGATGACTATTTTAAGATTATTGTTAGGATTAAATATATTAAAGTATGCACCATGCTTGGCACGCATTAAAGGTTATTTCTTAGTATTACTTTTGAATTAGCTAAGGTGTAGAGAGAATCTATTTGTACCTATTACATACTCAAAATACTTTATAAGATTTATACAGCTACCTAAACCTCTGGGAAATGAGGCAGAGTATAAATACAAAGTTATTAAAATAAAGAGGCTTTGGATCTTGTAGAATCTCTTTGTTCTATTAAGAGTGCTTTCTTTTGAATTTTTCAGAACTGGAATGATTACAGTCACCACGCTTTTGTCTGTGATCACTTGTCAGATCTCCTTGAGCTGCTCTTAGATCCAGAACAACTCACTGCGTCGTTTCACTCGACCCATACTAGTCTAGTCTCTCGAGAAGCTGTTGTAGCACTCAGCTTTCTTATTGAAGGTGCAGTAAGTAGAGGCAGGAAGATCTATCCACTTCACGAACTTGCACTGTGGCAACCACTACATGCAGAAAGTGGCTTCTCAAAGATCTCTAAGACTTTCTCTTTCTATAAGCTGGAAACCTGGTTGAGAGCCCGATTGACTGGGAATCCATTTGGTACATCTGCTTGCCTCAAGTCTGGGAAGAAACTGGCCTGGGCTCACCAAGGTATTTTTTAATATTTCAATCTATATTAAATCAAGCGAGAAGTTAAGGGCCCCATTGTTTTCTGGTATAATGATCACACATTTTCTGTAGCGTACCTAAAAAATACTACTCCTTAGGGACTAGCAGATGGCATAGCAGTTATATCGCTGGACCTCCCACGTGGCTGACTGCGGTTTGAATCCCAGACCCACTGGTTTGAAAATCATGGTGGGTGTGTGTGTGTGCATGTGTGCCCAAGACCCCAGAAGGAGAATGGAGGAGAAGGGATTGCGGTGTGGCCATTCCCCCAGGGAGTGATTTCTCACTTTCACTCTCACTGTCTCTGTCTCTCTTTCTCTGGCAAGTGCATGTGTGGTAGGGCAAAACCCTCTTAAAAAATTACTCCCATAGCAAGTAACTGACTTTCGTATATAACGTTTTTTCTCTCAGTGCAGCAACAATCTCCGAGAGTTGATTTATTAGTCAAGGGCTTTTTGGTTGCAGCAACAGAAACTCCAGCTGTTTCTCTTTGCTCTGCTCTTCCGTTCTCTGATTTTCTATCCCTCTCACTCTCTCATACTCACTCACTTGGGGCCCTCCTATTTTCTATACAATATAGCAAAATTTGGCCATCCTACAAGTGACCTCAGAGAGTTGGTACAGAGATGAGGTCTTTTTAGCTATACAGACACAAGCAAAGAAGGTGTTTCTAAGCTGGAAGTTTAAATTTACAGTAGGCACAGCCTGTTGAGTCACTGTCTATTCCGGATAGCCCAGCAATGGTTAAGTGATTAGCTTCAGTTGCTGTATGGCTCCTGGTCGGGAGATGTGCTGTCAGGTAGGGATGATCTGGGAGTAAAGCTATGAACTCAAATAAAACCCATGGAGTGATGGCAAATAAACGAGGAGTAAGGGATTGCTCCTGCGGCTCTTTGGAGAGATTAATTTTGCTGGGGATGATACTGGAATTGGGCCAGCTCTGCCACTTACTAGCTATATGACCTTAGACATGTTACTCAATTTGAGGGGTAGAAATAAAAAAGATATGAGATTTACATACAATTTTGAGTAGATTTTAGGTTTTAATATTTTTCATAACAAAAATTATGAGATGTTACAACAGAGAAAGATTAGAGTGGCCTGGCTCCCTTACCTGGTGATTAGGGCAGCTGGATCCCACATAGCCAACTGCACGGTTCAAGCCTCAGACCCAACAGCTTGAGAACCATTCTGGGCAGCATTCCGGCCGAAAATCCTGAAAGGAGGGAGAGATGGAGGAGAAGGGATTGCAGGGTGGCCATTCCCCCACGGGAGCATTTCCTCCTCTCCCCTTCTCTCTGGTGAGTGCACACACCCTGTGTGTATGTGTGTGTGTGTGGGGGAGAATAGACAACAGTAGAGCAAATACCCAATGCCCAGATCTAACGTTTTTTTCCCTCACATGTATCTAAAAAGTTAGGTACTAAAAAGACTTGTATATAGACAGACATGTGGAGCCTCCTATGGCTCATATGGTTCCCTTTCTTTGGAAACTGTCTTACTTATTTGTATGTCTTCTTAAATAGTGGAAGGCACGACCAAAAGAGCTAAGATCGCCTGCAATACTCATGTGGCCCCTAGGATGCACCGCCTGGTAGTGATGAGCCAGGTGTACAAGCAGACGCTGGCCAAGAGTTCAGACACTCTTGTGGGGGCACATGTGAAAATCCATCGTTGCAACGAGTCTTTCATATATCTGCTCTCTCCTCTGCGGTAAGCACAGTCTTCTCGTTCTGACATTTTGACATTTTCTTTGGACAAGGGTTGATCAATTCTTTTTTTTTTTTTTTTTTAGAGGTTTTCGCTATAGGGCACGTGTGCTCACCAGACAGAGAGAGACAGAGAGAC